TATATATATATATATATATATATATATATATATCAGGCTGTCTTCAAACTTGTGCCTCTGTCTCTCAAGTGCTGGGATTACAGATGTATTACCATGCTCCTCAGCTTCCTGCTAGAGATTTTTATGGCTTATCTGCAATCTTCAGAGCAGCCCTATCAGGAGTCCTGCCTGACATTGTGGTTTACCGCAGAGTTGTACAGGCTGGGGTTTGAGCTGTGTCTCCTTCCAGGGCTACAGAAGACATTTACCTTGGTTGTGATGCTTTAAAAAAATTATTTTTTGAGACAGGGTTTCTCTTTGTAGCCTTGGCTGTCCTGGACTTGATTTGTAGACCAGGCTGGCCTCAAACTCACAGAGATCTGCCTGCCTCTGCTTCCACAAAGGCTGGGGTTACAAGCCACATGCCCGGCTTGGTTATGATGCTTAGTGGAAGGTTAACACCTCACAGATTTGAGGGAGACCTGTCTACAAACATTCTACCATCTTTTCATTGCATATGAGGACCAGTGTGACACTTTGCTCATATCACAACACTCATGCTTTCTGAGGGCCAGAAGCTGTTGGGTAAGGTGCTGAGCTCACATTCCTCTTAGTAAACTAGAAGGTCCAGGAACAGGTACCTGAGACTTACTGCAGACACCACACCCCCTGATACAGGAAGGGCATTCCATCAGCCTGGGAAAGGACTGAGTCTCATTCCATGCGACAATCAGACAACCAGGCCAAACATCACATGTACAAGATACTTCTTCACTTTGTTGTTGTGTGGGGGTGGTAGCCCTGTTATTTGAAAAGGTTCTACACATTCTCAAAGGGCCAGCTTCCCCATTCCCACGGAGCTAGCCTCCTAAAGCACACATGGTAGTTTCTATGGATGTGCAGTAGCTGGTGAATGAACTGCTGAAAGGCAAATCAAAACTGTGAAGCAGAAACAGCTGGAATGAGACAGAGACAGGAGCACAAAGGTCTGACCTGGACAAGGGTCAGCAAGTGTTAGGAACAACAAGAAACAGGCACAGAAGTCAAAGAATGTCAAATGAGGTGGGGTGGGGAAAGGAAAATTGGGCATGAAGTAACTGAGACACTGGTAGAAAATATGCCCAGATTATTTCTTTTTCCTCTTTAGCTGTCCCTGGAAGAGGAAAGATGGGAGTTGCACACGGATGTCCAGGATGTCCACAGAGGAACAGACAGCACCTACCTAAGGAAGCCTGTCCTCAGGCTCAGCCTGCCTCTTAGGATTTTCCAACCTAGTTTCCCACCCAGGTTGGGCTCCTCCTACTCCAGGCTACGCAGGCCTCTTTGTGGCCCTGGCTTTAGTTGCAACACTGAGTAGAGAGGACATACAGGGTTTTAAACCAAATTCCTTTTCTCGGATTCTAAGTCAGTCACAACATCCTTTATTCACTACCACCCAAGTCCAAAGTGGCTGTAAGGGGAGATGTTTGCTCTTGGCTTAAGTTGTTCAAGCCCAGACTATTCTAGAATACCAAGGGGAAGCCAAGGTTCCAGAACAACATACCCATATTCATCCGGTACAACCGTACAGCTTCTGTAAGCTCAGGGATTTCCAGAATTTCTACTTCTGCTTCTAAGACATCTATGTTGGAGAAGTTATCTGGTAGTAAAATCTTGTGTGAGCGGAGAAAATTCACTTGAAAAGCAGAGAGAAACAAATAAGTTAACAAAGCATATTCATGACTAATCCATCCATGTCCTGGATCTCTGAGTTCTAAAACAATTGTTAAACATACCTGATTAGATTTGTTCTGAGGCAGTGCTTTTCAAAGACCTCAGATAACTTTGTGTTCCTGTGTCTAAGCCCATGGGTGTGACCTCCCCTGACCTAGCCTGGCCTGGCACTCCCAAGGCCCTCTTTGTGAACACAAGGGCCCTGACACTTACCCTGAGAGTCTTGACCCAAGAGCAGGTCATTCCAAAAGAGGGAGTTGTCTTGTTAGAGAGGAGAGGCCTGGTGGAGGCTGGGCTGTACTTTGTCTCTGCTGGATTGCAGTAGGGAAGCAGAGATGGAACCAACACTGAGTCCCTGTGTGAACCTCCTCAGAGATTCAGAAGCCCAGCACAAACAACTTCCTAGGTGAATCTGGATCGATGTCAAATGATCAGGCCTGTGACACACCCTGTGTTTATTGTGCTGCCCACTTAGGTGCTTGTCTACTGCTCGAATTATCTACACAGCAGTGAGGCCATTTGGTTCACAGGCCAGCAAAGCTAGCCCTGGGGTAATGTGGGAACAGAGGCTCCCTTCTGGGCAGGATGAGAGATATCATCCCTTCTTAGCTCAAGCTTCCCGTCCTATATGATGCTAGAGAAACCCTCATTCACCCCCTTTCTTTGCACTCCAAGTGTAATGGAAGGGGAAGCAGGTAGTGTCTTTGAAACAATCCTATTTCCTTGATGTATGGTGAGAACAGCTGAGTTCTAGAGCCTGGCTAGAGATACAAGCAAAGTATGAGAAGTGACCAGAGTTCATCCTATGTTCTTACCATCAGCTCTATGGCCCATAATACCTTGGGTAGTTTCAATTCCCTTTTAGAGCTAGGCCACCACAAAAGAAATAGGAGCTAAAATAGTGCTAAGCTGTGCTGTGCTGGTGGGGCACACCTTTAATCCCAGCACTGGGAGGCAGAGGCAGGTAGATCTCTTTGAGTTTGAAGCTAGCCTAACCTACACAGTGAGTTTCAAGACAACCAAGACTACGTCTCAAAAATAAAGCAAAACCAAAAAAAGCTCTGACCTAAGTAAGAACCTAATGCTGGACTCTGCTTGCTACTTGGAAGATTATTATGCTTCTACAGCCTCTGCTCAGATAAGTTACTCAGGCTATAAGCAACAAATGGACCTTGACATGAGTGAGTGTGCGTGTGGGTATGGAAAGGGTAGGTGGCCACCCCTATACAGAGTAATCACCAATGAAGGTAA